CGGCCGGGTCTCAGGAGGACCTGGGAGGACCCTTGAGTCCTCCCACGGGGCCTCTGGATGGGCTTGGGCTTCTCTGTGCGTTGGTCCCTGTGTCGCGCAGCTGGACCTGGGGACGGTGTGTGTCCTGTCTCAGGGACAGCACCCAGGAGCCACAGCACGGGTCCTGCTGACCCAGAGTCTCCTGTCCCTGCCTGGGGAGCCCCTCCGGGACTTTGGGCTTACCAGGGACTCTGGTGCCCACGGAGCAGGGGACAGTGGGTGGTGGACGAGGGAGGGGAGGGACAGAGTCCTGTGGCCCTCAGCCCTGGGCAGCTCTTCTGGGTGGTGGCTTGGGTGTGGCCACATCCTGGGCTGCTGGCCCTGCATGTCCCTCTCCTGCTGTCCCTCTGTGCTGTCCTGCTGTGACCCATCCTGCCTCTGGCCGTGAGCTGGGCAAGAGCAAGGTCACACCCAGTACACAGCAGGTGACAGCAGGCGGGGCCCCGCAGCTGTCCACTCTCCTCTCTGCCCATTTAGGACCAGGATGTCCATGTCCACGCTGCACTGGAGACAGGGCCCTGTCCCTCCTCCAGGCCATGGGTGTGGCCGTGTGACATGGTGGCCTCAGTTCCTCCATCTGTAGGAGGCCCAGGGGGACAGGGGTCGGGGGCTCCCTCCAACTGCCCAGAGGAGCCTGGACCCCAGGCCTGAGCTCAGACGGCCACTGAGGTCACCCACTGGTGACCCGGAGGAGCCCATCTCTGGCCTCTCCCAGCCCCAGTTCCCGTCCCGTGTTGGGCTCCTGGCCCTCGCCCTGCCACCAGAGCACGTCCTGTCCCCGGCCACGGCCCTGACCCCACTCACCAGATGGCAGGGGTCGGGCAGCACGGGCCTCCCTCCTGCAGGCCCAGCCTGTTCCGAGACCCCTGCTGGCCCAGGGCAGGGTCAGGACAGCGGGGAGGAGGCAGAGGGCCCACCCCAGGCCTCTCTCACCCAGGGCCTCGTCCCTCAGCCTCCTGGCCCCTCCGTCCCCCTGCACAGTGAGGTCACGGGCGGGCTCAGCGCGCACATCCTGCAGGGTACTTCCAAGTCCCAATCCTGGGGACAAGGACCTGGGGTTTTAAGTCAGTCCTATGTGTCCCCAAGGGTCACTTGCTTTTCATAGCAGACGGTGGAGGTCAGAGTTCAAAATTCCAAACCAAACATTCTCCCGGTTCTAGGAAAAAGGTGAATTATGTCCTGCAGATAAGGAGTGCCCTGTGCCCTGAGCAGCTTGCGCCTTCCTGGAAGGTGTCACTTGCCACCACTCATGAAGGAGGGTGACAGAAATCACCAAGTTGGAAGAGGTGGGGAACGGCATTGGGGCAGTGAGAACAGAATATGCAAAGACTCAGAGCCATGAAACTCTGGTGTCCCCAGAGTGGCCGTTCCAGGGGCTGGAGCGGAAATGGTCGTGGGTCGGGGAAGCAGCCGGCTGGAGTGTGCGTCTCCTGGTGGCGATTCATTTTAAGCTGGTTAGGAAATGTGTTCTAGAGGCTGGTGGGGCAAGTCGCAGACGGTCTCCGGTTAGTTCTAAACTAGTCTGGAGCCGGGTAGACTGGCTCAGAACCTGGTGTCTGTGGCAATAACCCAAGCCTCAGAGCCTGGCGGGCAGGGAAGAGGAGTCCCAGTTCAGAGATGGGGAGGAGTGGAATCTATAGCACAGCATCTGGTGACCCGTGGAAAGGTGATGGAGAGGGAGACGCTGAGTGCAAGGCCAGACTTCTGGCTGAGGGATATTCAGTGAGGTGGCATTTCAACAGGCACGTCGGGGACAAAAGAAGTGGGCACAAGTCAGGGTTGAGGAGCTGGCTAGTGCATCAGTCAGCAAGGACCCCAGGATTGCTACGTAACAAAACAACCACAAAAGCATAGTGGATTTCAGGGGTCAGCTATTTAGCTTGGGTGTCCAGGGTTGGACTGCTCTGGACCAGGCTGGGCTAATCAGGCTGGCTCCACCCGGCACAACTGAGACCCGCGGCTGGATTCCACGTGTCCCACCCTCCAGCAGGCCAGCCCTCGTGTGTCCTAAGGGCCAGAGCCAGCCAATCAGGAGACCCCTTTTAAATCCTGTTTGTGTCACAAATCCTGTTGGCTGGCCTCCCAAAGCCAGGTCAGGGGCGGGGACATGGTGGGGCACCCGATCAAGGCTGTGGCTATGGGAAGTGGGGCCCGGGGGTCGCAGGAGCAACGGCAGCCCTCACGGACCTGACGCTGTGGGCCCGGACCTCTCTGGAGCCTTGGGCCGGAGGCTTGGACCAGCAGAGCAGGGCTCTGGCTACAAGAGCTGGACGCCTGGGTGACCCTGTGTCTCCCTTTACCACCAGCTGTCCTCTGTCATGGGGAGAAACCCTCTGGGCCCTTGGGGCTGGTGGGGTCCCTGCCTGGCACGCACATAGTAGGTGCTCAGCTGGCCACGAGTGGTGGGGACACAGCCGGGGAACTGACCCTTGTTGACCCAGAAGACAGGGCTGGCCCTGGGGGGCTGTGGGGGCCTGTGGCCCTGGCATCACCCCCCTGAGGGGTCCTGCTGGGGATCAAACAAGATGGTGGCAGGTTTTCCTTCCAGAAGAACTTCCGGAACCTTCCGGTGTCTGTTCCCATCCTCCCCGCGGCTCCAGGAGCACCAAGGGATGGTCCCCGTTTTGCGTGTAAAGAACTTGGAGTTGACGCAGACCCAGGTCACACGGCCGACCAAGTGGCACCGCTGGGTGCCCGGGCGCGGGGGACTCTCTCCCTGTCATCCCTGCCCCCCGGGGCTGCTGGGCCTCTGGCAGCCGAGGTTGGGCGCAGTGACGGTGTCTGTGTGGCGGTCCCCATGGAGCCACCCAGTCCTCCCCCTCCGCGGGGACAATCCCTTAGAGGACATTTTTTTCTTTAAAAAGACAGGAAACAGCGGGAACCGGTCTCTGCCGCCGCTTCCTGAGTCTCTTTGGTCTCTTTTGTTGTACTTTTGATTTTTCGCCTTAGACGCCGTCCCCAGGAGCGGCTCCGGGGCCATTGATTTATTATTTATGGCGAAACGTCCGTCGCGGCGATGGCGTCTTCCGTCCTTGTCCTGATGGACGTCCTGCAGGACGAGGCCCAAGGGCAGCGATGGGGGCTGGGGGCCCTCACGACGTCCCTCTGTCTGTCTCTGCATCTGCGACCCGTGGGGACGGAGGAGCTGTCTCTTCGGGGGTGACCCCTGAGGGTGGCCCCTTGGCGGGGAGGCAGGAGCTGGTGTGATCTGTCCTTGGGGATGGGGTGTGGCCCCCAGGGACACTGGGCTGTCCCCAGGCAGCCCGCCAGCCCAGGGCTCCGAGGCCCACCTGTGTGTCTGGTCCCCTGGTCTCCGGCTCCTCCTTCCCTCTGACGCGGGGTTTGCTGTGGGAAGCGACTGGCCCAGTCTGGGCCCAGCCCTGGAGAGGAGCAGCCGCCCGTCCACCAGGGGTCAGCCGACGGTCAGGGGCCAGCCCGCGCGGGTTGTGGGCTTGGCTGTGGCTGGCTGTTCCGTGCGTCATGGACTCCGATCCTCTGCCCATTTGACAGGGGGGAACATTGAGGCCAGGAGGGGACAGGGGACTTGCCCAAGAGACTGCTGGAGCCGGCTTGGAGCCTAGGACAGACGGTAAGTGTCCTCAAGTCTGTCTGCCTCTCTTCCCGGACCCTGCGGGCCTCAGAAGGGAGCCGGGGACCCGGGGCTCCCCTGTGGCTCCCGTTGCCAGGTCTGTGGCCCTGGGAGGCCGCGCGTCCACCCAGCACTGGGCTGCAGGCTGCCGTGGCCTGTCTCCGGCCCGCTGGCCCAGCAGCCCTGCTCCAGGGCTGTCACCTGGCATCTGTGTGACCCGAGGTCTCTGACTCAGGCAGGGCCGGATCTGGAGCCCCCTGGGACTCTGAGGGTCCAAGTGTGCGTGAGCGTGTGTGCAGGTGTGCCCAGGTGAGTGTGTGTGCAGGTGTGCCCAGGGGAGCGTGTGTGCGTGGGGCGTGAGGGGACTGTGCTGTGTGGGACTGAGCGTCCGCCCGGGACGTGATTGGGGACACTCCTCAGCCCCGCCCTCTGGGCCTCAGTGTCCCCTGTGGCAGGGCTTGGACAGGGCACAGAGGGCCCAGCAGTGGTGTCCCCAGCCTGACCCGGTTCTGATGGCAGCCACGGGACAGGACACGGTCAAGCCACCTCCTGGGACTCACAGGCCCACACCCACCTGGGGCCCCAGTGAGGCTGTCCCCAAGCCACACCGTCACCCCCGGGAGGAGGGGAGGTACTGCGTCCCCGAGGGCCACCCACAGACTCCGCGGCTGGTGGGACCCTGTGCCCACAGGAGCCCCAGCCACCGAGGTTCCTGCTGCTCCAGAGCTAGCGTGAGCGGGCGCCCAGGGAGAGGCCGCCCTGCCCACCAGGCCGGCCGGCTGCCCAGCACCACATCCAGGACCCGGGGGGGCTGCCGTGATGACAGGACGTGAGGACAGAGGGCAGTGGGCGCCTGTGACCTTTGCTGCTGGGGACGGCGTGGTGACGGTGTAGTCACGATGGTTACACTCCTGAGGGGACCTTCTCCCCGTCCCCGACTCAGTGAGCATTTATGGGGACCTAGGGCACCAGGGGACAGCATGGCACACAGGACACCCCTGGTCCCCAGGGCAGATGGGACTATAATATGGTCGTGGCTCAGGGGATCTTGTGCTCATAAATGCTGACCGTGGTCAGGGGGAACCTGCTGGCCACGGAGCCAGCCTGGTCTGCGGTCGGGAGGGCTTCCTGGAGGAGGCGGCGCTTCAGGCCAGGTCAGCGTGGAGGAGAGAACAGGCCAGGGGCGGGCGGGGGCAGGGGGAGCCAGGCTGGGGCTGGAGGACGGGACACAGGCTGACCGGGTGGGGAGGTGGCCAGAGGGTGCTTGGACACGGCCACCCAGGGCCGGGGAAGCCAGGGAGGTGTCGGAGGACGGGTGACGGGAGCCGAGTGTCGGCAGCTTGGTGAACAGAGCTCAGCACGTCCCAGACTCGGACTCCAGGTCTCCTGAGAATCTTCTAGGGGGTCGAGGCTGCGGTGGGCGGAGGGTGGCTGCCCACCCTGTCGTCAAGAGTGGGGGTCATCGTCTTTGGAATCTGGGTCGAGTCTGCCGTTTGCTTTGAGTCATGAAACACAGTGACGATGACAGCCTGGGACTGTTGGGGGTTGGGGTACAGGAAGACCTGGGGCCGCCCCTGGATCACGTACTGTCTCAGAGTCCTGACGGCGGGTTTTTTATTTTTATTCTTTTTTGCAGGGCAGAGGGTGGACTAGGGGTTAAGTTCGGGGGCCCTTGACCCCTGAGCCCCACCCCCAGCCCTATTCTGTATTTTATTTAGAGACAGGGTCTCACTGACTGCTCAGGGCCTCACTGTGGCTGAGGCTGGCCTTGAACTCATGATCCTCCTGCCTCAGCCTCCTGAGCTGCTGGGATGACAGGCGTGGGCCCCTGCACCTGGCCTGACTGCCATGTTGCAGGATCCCCTCCCATGAAGGGGCCTGTGGACGGGTCAGTGTGGGAAGCGCTGCATATTTTTCTCTAGATGATCAGTGCACATAAGCACAGTAAAGGCACTGGTAAGTCCTGTGGGGGCGGGGGGGCTCAGTCTTTAATGAAATTGTTTGTTCATTTATAGCAAAATGGAACCCAGGGGCACTTCACCAGGGAACCACATCCCCAGCCCTTTTTTAAAAAAAAAAAACTTCTTTTTTTTTTTAAATTTTGAGACAACGGGGTCTTTCTAAGTTGCTTAGGGCCTCACTCAGTTGCTGAGACGATCCTTGAACTTGTGATCCTCCTGCCTCAGCCTCCTGAGCCACTGGGATCACAGGCCTGAGCACCGTGGTCACAGGCAGCGGGCCCACCAGCCCGTGCTCAGGAACCTGACGGCAGCAGTCCACCTGAGGTCGCCCATCTGCCTATCTGTCCCTTAGCGTCAATCATGTGCCAGGTGGCTTTAGTCCCCACCCTGGGCTCAGCACAGATGCAGAGCAGGGCTGAGGGTCCCGTCTGAAGGAGCGCGTGCGGGCGGGCCCCGGCCACAACCCAGCAGCAAGGCCTCCGGGCGGTCGCCAGGCCTGAGAGCGCCGGACCCTTTACCTAGACGTGGGGCTGCCATGTGGGGTGCCGGCCTGGTCCCAGCTGCAGGGACACTGGTTTGGCCTGAGCAGTGACAGCCCTTTGTAAACGGCTCTGCTCCGTCTGCTCTCGGTTGGCCACCGTCCCCACGGCTCCCTGGTGCTCCAGCGCCGTCCGCCCCTCCTGAAGGCTTCCACCTGGTCCTCTGGCCACCCGAAGGCCGAAGCTCTCCAGCCCTTTTCTTTGTATCAGCGGCCCCCGAGGACCTCAGGCATTTCCCACTGGCCCGTGCGCACCCACGGGGCTTCAGACCTCAGACCCCGGGGTCTGGGGGTCCTGCTGGGCAGCTGTGGGACTCATTTCTGCCGAGTCCACCCGTGCCGGGACCCTGCGCCCTAGGGGACGGACACTCTGGCCACCTCGGGGGTTTTCACGAGGGGTGGGGATAAGAGCGCCTGGCTGCGAGGTGCTGTCCCTGCGCCGTCCTTTCTCCTTGATGCTCCCCCAGAGACCCCCGTGGGCCTCCCTGTCCTCCCCGTCCTCCTGAAGTCCAGATTGTTCCCCTCCATCCCCTCCTCACGCCGTCCCCGCCTCTCCCAGGGTGTGGAGGTACCAGGGGGGAGGCTCCCGGGGGTCCCCAGCACTAAACCTGCCTTCGTAAATTAGGGAGCACAGAGCCCAGCCATGGCAAGGGTCCCAGCCCGCCCCCAGGTCTGGAAGAGCCAAGCCCTACGTCCAATTCAGGGCCAATGTGTGGCGCCTACCCCACTTCCTCCCAGTGCGCTTCAGTCGCCTTGTGTCACGGGGCCCCGGCGCAGAGGTGGTGCTTGGGAAGAGTCACGGTGCACAGAGATGCACTAAAATGTAAAGGCTCCGATGAGTCCTAGAAAACTGTGACCGAATGAGTTCCAGATTCCTATTTTTATTTATTTATTTTTTTGGTACCAGGGATTGAACTCAGGGGCCCTCGACCACTGAGCCCCGTCCCCAGCCCTGTTCTGTGTTTTATTTAGAGACAAGGTTTCACTGAGCTGCTTAGGGCCTCGCTGTCGCTGAGGCTGGCTTTGAACTCGTGATCCTCCTGCCTCAGCCTCCCGAGCCACTGGGATGAGAAGCGTGCACCACTGCGCTGGGCGAGTTCCAGATTCTGGCAACACTGTGGGTGCATCTTACCATGGAATGCTGAAGGGAAGAAATTAGACACAAGTCTATAATGCCACGATTGATATTTCTGATATGATTTTTCTATTTATAGAAAATCTCCGAACAAGCAGGGCACCGTGGCCCGCACCCATAGTCTCAGCTACTCTGGAGGCTGAAGCAGGAGGATCACTGAAGCCGAGGAGTCCAAGGGCAGCCCGGGCAACACGGCAGGACCCCATCACAAACAACCAAAAGAGTAGAGCACCATCCACCTCATAGGACACACCACCCTGGATCACGGTAGCGGATGACTGTGGTCCCATCTGTGCATTATGACTTTATAATGATAAAGTCATTGTTTTAGAGTGGACCACAACCAGCGGGGTGCGGTGACGCACACCTGTGATGCCAGTGGCCCGGGAGGCTGAGGCAGGAGGATCATCGTGAGTTTGAGGCCAGCCTGAGGGATTTAGTGAGGCCCTGAGCCATCGCCTAAAATAACAAACAAAAAGGGCTGGGGACGTGGCCTGGTGCTTAAGCACCCCTGGGTTCAGTCCCAGCACCTAATGAGAATGATCATAAAATACAGAACAACTTAGGAAATGCCCCGCCTGCGGCCGCCCTTCATCTGGAGCTTGCTGGGCCTTTCTCTTTCCCACGGCTGCGTGTGTTGACCGCATCAAGAGAGGGATCTGCGTCCACCCCGCCAGATGGGCACAAGCACCGTCTAGGACGCTCCCTTGGTGAAGAGACCCCCTTTATCAGAACGTGTCCCTGTCCTTAGGCAAGGTCCCTGTGACCTTGTTCTACAGTTGACACCACGAAAGGCTGCGGAGACCTTGGCTCAGAGAATGGGCTGGGGGGAGGCCGGAGGGGAGGCTGGAGGTGAGGCAGGAGGCTGCTGCGGCCCACCGCGGCCTGGGGTGATGGAGAGAGCAGGAGGACCCCTGGGGGACGTGGCAGGTGACCCAGGAGCCCTCTGGTCCTGCCTTGGGGGTGAGGGCTTCTGTCTGTGCACCCTGAGCTCCGTCCTCTTGACCGTGGCCTCCGGCTGTGGAGCTGGGGGGCCCAGGGAGAGGGTCCCCAGGAGACCAGGGACTGTGCGGAGAGAGGGTGGTGAGGGTGTCCTCACGGCTGTCACCATGGAGACGGCCACCCACCCACCTGGCCCTCCTCTGGCCACTTCTGGGGGTCTCTCTGTTGGCCGAGACGCTGGCCAGGCTGCGACCTGAATGGCCGTAGGTGGGGACACCACTGGGGCCCCGGAGGCCCTCCCCCCTGACATTCTAGCACCTTCTCCCCCTTGCGGGTGGCCGTGTGCTGTCCGTCTGGGCGGCCGTGCCGGGGCACACAGGCCCCTTCAGAGGTCCGTCCGGGCTGTCAGCCTCTGGGGCGTCGCCGCCAGCTGTGTAAATGTTTTCGGGTTTCCTGCTGCGCCCGGGCTTGAGCCGGGGCCAAGACAAGCCTCGCGGCAGTTTTCTTTGGCAGGAAGCTGAGCGCAGGAATGTCAGGGAACCTTCCACGGCGGGCGGGCGGGCGGAGGGCGGGGGACGCAGGCTGAAAGCCGAGCCCGGGCAGACGCTGCCATCATCTCATGACCGTGTCCCCAACGAGAGTCAGGAGCTGCGGTCTGCCTGGCCCCGTGGGACACATCTTCCTGCTCACCCCTCTCCTTCTAGAAGGGGCAGGGGCCTGTGGGTGGCTCCCGGTGGCTTCCGAGGGTGGCCATAGCGGCTGGGTGGCTGTGGGCAGCCAGGTCTCCAGGAGGGAGGAGTGGACTTCCCTGGGGGCCCAGCTGAGGAGGGGGAGGTGGCCCCTCACCCTGGCGAGGGGTGAGGTTCTCGACTTGTTGCTCAAGTCCATTTAGTCAAGTGTGACTGGGGACTTTGGTGTCACGGCAGAAAAGATCCCAAGCAAGTGCACAAGCCTCTGGGGGCCGCCCAGCAACCTAATGAAAGGAAGCTGACCAGGGGGAGGCGATAGGGAGAGGTGGGGACTGGGGCGACCCAGGGGCTCATGCCCCATGGAGGGGGCAGGCACTTCCCGGCCCCAGCTGACCACAGCTCTGGGAGGACGGGGCTCTGATGCCTTCCAATTACAGAGATTCCGAGAGAGACCAAGGGTGTGGGCTTTTATGTGAAATCTCTCCATCAAAGTGTTGGAAATGTCTTTAATTAAAAAAAAAACAGAACGATGATGAAGCGTGGCATCAGCTCAAATGAGACACATCGGGGGCTGAGTGGACCCACCACGGCCAGCCGAGTGGACTGAGGCCCGCAGCAATGTCGTCGGCACCGACAGCGATGAGGACCACACTGCGGGCCGAGCCGCGTGTCGGGCTGAGGATGGGATCCGCGGGGCTCCCCGTGTCTGGGGGCAGACTTCAGTGTGCCCACTTTACCGTTGGGAAGCTGAAGTCTCACAGAGGGATGCACTGGACCAAGGTCACAGTCAATGGCAGGGCACGGGTCTGTCTGAATCCCAGCACTGGGCTGAAGTCAGGAGATTTGCTTTGTGGTGTTCCTTACTGTCTCATTCATCCAGATATTCCAGAAACGTTGATGGGACTTTTGCGTATGCGGGGTGCTGGGCGGGGAGTTTAACATGCAGCAGATGACAAAATATTCATAAAGTGCATACAACATGGAGGAAGTGCAGCTTCAACCCATTATCACTATTACCAACACACGTCTACCTATCACAGAGGGCTCCTGCACAGGCCATGGGGAGGGGTAGATTGGAAAGCAATTGACCAACTTGATGCCTCCAGGGACTACAGTGCTCCTTGTGAAGATGCCAGTCAAGGAGGAGGGCCAGTAGGCTTGGGGCCAGCCAGCCTGGGAGCAGGGGGTTAGTGGAGTCCAACACCTGAGCCCTTCTCTGTGGGGCTGTAAGTCCCCAGGACAGACTGACATTCACAGTTTGCAAAGCTGGACAGTGCACCCAGCCCTCCTCCAGCTGCTCATGCGCATTCACTAGTGCCCCTAGTGCCCCTTAGTAGTGAGAGGCAGGAACATGGCAGGTGACCCCAGGCGTGGCTGGTCCTTTCCAATGCACGTGGCTGTCAGGGATGGACAGTGCGAGTCACCACGTGGTGTCCTGGTGTTCTCATGGAATTCCAGGGGAAGCCGGGAGTTGGGGGCCCCGTAGAGAGGTGGGGCAGACCTAGGTGTGGACTCCTGGGTGGTACCTCTGGTCCTGTTCCTCCGTGACAGTTATAACTAGAGGGTGAGTCCACTTCCGGGCTGGGTGGGATGCCCAATCTGCACCTGGATCCTTGCCCTTCATAGAGCACTTGGTGCCCAGCAGGGAGCGCCACGTGGCCCGGGGAGTGCTGTTGGAGTCTTGGGCTTGCCTGTCCTTCCCATTCTACAGAAAGGGGGACTGAGGCTCAGAGAGACGAAATCCCACTCCTATGATGGAGGGCCCTGCACTTCCGCCTCACCTCCTGAGACGTGCTTTCAGGAGCACACCCCACTTTCCCAGGTCTCCACTCCTGACTTGACAGGTGGGAGGGGCCCTGGGGGCTCCACACAGGCCGCCGGCTGTGTGGGTGGCCCCAGGATGCCCACCCCTGCCACACCGAGTTCCACCCACAGGTCCCACTCACTTTGCCCAAAGCCACTGCAGTCTGAGCAGAGAGGGCTCCCAGGGACTGCCTGGTGGCGCCTAGGCGGGGGCTGGGGAGGTCCCTCCCTCTGGGTATCTGGGAGCCTCCAGAGGACGAGGATGTGGACCTGGAGCCGCGGGCCTTGCCTGTGCATGGTGAGCAGGGGGTGTGCGGGCAGATCCGCTCATTTCATCATCTAGAGGCTGGCCGCCTTCTGGGTGGGGAGGGCAGGGAGGGGTTTACCAACTTCCTCGTGTGTGCGGTGGCATCATTGAACTCTTCAATTAAGGCCAGGGACCTGATTCACTCCTGGAGGCCGAGGATAGAGGCGCCTCCGCAGTCCCTGGGTCTCTCCCTCCCGTCCTCCCTGCTCCTGCAGAGGTCTAGCCCTTGGCCAGGGCTCCCCCCCTACTTCTGGGGGTGCCAGGATAATGGAATCCCAGCTGTCCACCTTCCCCACGACTCCACTCTTCCCCATCCCATGGTCACGTCCAGGGAGCAAGAGATGGACATCTTGGTGGGGGAGGGGACCAGGGAAGACCTGCGGGCAGCCTCCACGCGGAGGGCTTCCTGGAGGGGGCGGCTAGGGGTCTTTGCTAAGGGGCGAGTTGGGGGCGGGGAACAGCCTGGACAAAGGCCGAGAGTGGGGCCCCGAGCGGATGTGAGGGGCTGGGCTGGTGGAGAGGAAGAGGAGGGACGGGCGGATGCTTCTAGAACAGGCCTCCCGGTGTCCAGCCCCTGTCCTCTCCACCCGAGCGCACTGATAAGGCCTGGGCAAGGGCGGCTGGGTGAGGAGGGACGCCCGAGGCTCACTCATTGCCCAGGCCCCGGTGGGGAAGCCAGCTGGAGGGCAGGACGGCAGGTCCCCTGCGCGCTGTCCTGGTTGACAAAGGCCGGCTGGGGGCAGGAGGGGCTGGAGCGGGTGACATTCTCCATCAGGCAGCCCGTGGCCTGCTCCCCCGGTGCTCAGGGGACACAGGACAGCTGTGCAAACACTGTTCAGGGAGTGGGGCGCCACGGAGTGGGGTCCCCGGGAGGTGGGGGGGCCACTGTGCCTGTGTGCGCGACGCCCCGTGGGTTTGGCACGTGCTGGACGGGCACCTGGCTGGGAGCGTGGGACGTGGGTCAGAACGAGGGTCTGTCCTCGTGTGTGCGCATAAGTGTGCACGTGCTTATGACAGAGCGGGCGTGTGTGTGTGTGGGGGGGGTGCATGCATCAAGGGGTGGATGCGCACGATCTGCGCATGTGCGGGCGAACAGCCCACTGACATCCCCTCCTGCGCGCGTGCGGTGACGCTGGCGCTGGTGTGTGACACCCATGCTCCTAAGCATGCGCTGCCCCATGCGCGCGCGCGCGCGCGCGCGCGTGTGTGTGTGTGTGTGTGTGTGTGTGTTGCACTAGAAGGGGAGTGTGAGAGGCCGACATGGTGGAGGCCTGAGGCTGGGTTCAGTCCTGGAGCCCACGAATCTCCAGGGCGCTGTCCCTGCCGGTGCCCAGGGAGACCCCGGACCCAGCCCCTTCACCCTCGCCTTGGAGAGGGCGCAGGGGTGGCCCCAGGTCCTCCCTAGAATGGTTTCCGTGGACATCCGCCCCACGCCGCTGCGCCCTCGCCCCGGGCTGCGCTCAGCTCCAGGGGTGCAGGGGATGGTGGGGGCAGGTGGCGACTGTGCGGGCAGCGAGGCGGGGACTGTGTGCGTCTCTCCATCCCCGAGCCCACAGCCTGGCTGGAAAGCTCAGGGGACGTGGATCCCGGGTCCCCACTGGCCAGATCACCTGCTGTGCTCACAGGACAGTCCCACAGAGCCACCGGGGTCCAGCAAGGGGGGGACCCTGACCTTGGAGCCGGGGCACTCCCGGCCTGTGGCCTTGCCGCCCCCTTCCCACCCTGACCTCCTCCTTGGTGAAGGGGACACAAGCCGCAGCCCCCTGGGATAAGAGGAGATGGAGGGGACTGATGTGGCTCCTCTCTCCTCCTGTCTCGGGGACTCTCCGGGCCAGTCTCGCACCCTCCTGCTCACACACTTTTTAAAATGTTAATAGACTGTAAATTGCTTTTCTTTTTATACTTCTTAAAATCAGCGTTTCCTCGAGTCGATGGCGGAGCTGCTGCTGGAGTGACGGCCGGGCTTTATTACTGTCGAGATGAGATGGACTGTGGAGAGCTCATCCAGCTTTTATAGGAACTATTTTATTTATAAGAATTTTCCTAATGTCAGATGAATGGGACACGCCTGGCTTCTTTTTGCCCACTCTGGAGGGAAGGGGGCACTGAGCATGGCCCGAGTCGGGGTTCCATTTCTTTACCCTGAAGCCCAGAATCCTAGAGGAAGTGACCTTCGGCAGTGTAATGGTGCAGTTTCTACTTGCACACCGCGAGTGCTGGGGAGCTCACTCCCGACCAAGATGGCCCATCTCAGGTCCAGTCTCCAACCCCTTTCCTACCCTCATGGGCCCTGGCTCTGTTCTCTGGAACCAGGGGGGAAATCTCTCCAGAGTCCAACTGAGAGTCCTAGGGATCCCTTCCTGCTCTGAAATAGCCCCCTTTGTCCTTTCAATCTCTCTCCATCCCTTCACCATCTTACTGAGTCTCCAAGATATACCCAGAATTCTCTTCCCCAAGGTCAGGGAGACCACTTGAAACTTCTGTGAGTCACCAAGACCAGGGTCTCCCAAGGTCACTTCTGAAATGTCTCCATTCTGGTCACACTTATAAGGATCTCATGTTCAAATGCCTGTTGGAGGTGCTGGGTTAAAGAAATATTAGAAACTTCCTTTGCAGAAGGACTTATCAGGGCCTTATGTGACTCATGCACCTGGGACTCTCCACACCAGGTAAGGAGGTTGAGGTTGGGTGGGTCTGGGCTTGTCAGAAGTCATGCTAGAAGGAACAGGTAAACTGCTCTAGAGGCAGACCTGGGTTAGAGTTCCACCTCTGCCATGTGTTACCTGCGGGACCTGGAAATGCCTT